GAGAACAGTATGGAGAATATACATACTGATGTTAGGGTAACTGTATGCCTTGTTAAATTTGCGAAACCTTTTGGTAGAAAATGAATAGCCTTTGTTGCTGGCATTAAGCTGCAGTTAATAGAGGTGTTTAATAGAAGCATGAAAAATGAAGAGGGCAACTGTAAATTAGCTAACTGAAGTTATTTTGAGCTTACAGTGAATGTTCCTATTTTTGTTGTATTCAAACCATGAGGTGATGGTGAAGAAAACTTATCATACAATGTAAATTTGTCATCTATTGCAATATTTATCTTAATAGGCACCAGATCTTGCAGTACAGGAGCTAACCAGATGTGTAAAGGTGTGAATCAGTAGATTATTAGAATTCCATTGTGATATCAAGTTGGTTAATGTCTGTTTCAGCTATAAACTGGAATTGGTTACTACTTCTAGGAACTGAGACAGCATCAATAATTTTTTTTTCTGTCAGTCATAACCATTGTAGCCTAAAATATGCAATTCCAAGATTATTGTCAGTGACCTAGGTTATGATTTGTAAGATTCAACCAAAACTTTTAACTTTTAAATTTTTGAAGAGTTTTTTGAAGAGACTGAGTGTTGATTTACTCATGTCTCCATCTCTGAAGAACACTGCTGATCAGCCATATGGAATCTGCCCTGTTCTCGGCACTGATAGAGTTTGACCATCTCAATTTGGATACAATGAAAAACACTTGTTCCTTTAATCTACTTTGTAGGAACTTGGTTTTCCTGGAGTGGAAATTGGTTCTCATATAAATGATTGGAATCTTGATGCCCCAGAGCTGCAGCCAGTATTTGCTGTAAGTTAATTCTGTTCATTATTTACTACATAATGATAGTGGTATTTTAGCAGTGAAAATTCCACAAGGTTGTTCTTCTTGTCTTCTGAACTCTCAGTACTTCTTGTCAAACAGGAGAGTTGCACTAAGAGAAGATATCATTGTGCTAATTTTAAGAGATTAACCCTTTAACTCCCATGAGTGACCAAGACAGAATTTCTCCTTACAATATCGATACAATATTAACCAGATAAGTGATGAGAATAAAGAAAAATATCAATTTGGGGATAATTAGTTGATCCAATACTAAATTCTCTGAACTAACAATAAGAATTGTTTGGTTGACAGTAAGGAGAATTACAAATTTGATCTGGGAGTTAAAAGGTTAAGAAATTCAAACTTGTTGTATTATTATTAACTCTTGAATCTTTTGTTCACTCTACAATTCACAACTTCTTTTGAGTTAATAAATATTTTTGTCACTGGAAGGAAATTTGAAGTCAATAGTATTACATAATGTAACTTGTTCTATCAGGCTGCAGAGGAGTTGGGTTGTGCAATTTTTGTTCACCCTTGGGATATGGAATTAAAAGGAAGGATGTCCAAGTACTGGCTGCCATGGCTTGTTGGTAAGCCTTTCTTATTTTTAAGCCACTTGAGTTTTTAGTGTGCATTTGCAGACCTACATTGTTTGTCAGAGTCTTGAATCAGCTCAGTGTTATCAAAAATTTCTTGTTGTAGGAATGCCAGGTGAAACTGCTCAAGCAATCTGCTGTATGATATTTGGTGGAGTTCTAGAAAGACATCCAAACCTAAAAGTGTGTTTTGCTCATGGAGGTAAGAAAAGTTAATGAAAATTTCATTCTGTAATTTTTCCAAAACTTGGTCCTGGTGGAAGGTCTCAGTGATTCCCAAATGAATACAGAATGATCATTATTTTAAGTAGTGGGAAAAACATTTACCAGGACTGGTATATTTTTTTACCCAAGGTAAATTGTTTACTGACAGAGTTAGGTAAGTATTATAAGTTTGTAACTGCAATTGTTTCAATATTGCTGGAAATTTAGACAGCATAGGTTATCACACTTGACAATAGCTACAATATGTAACAAATAGATTCCATATTGCTGTGCATCTGTTCAGAAGTAGGTGATAGATGGTGCCAAATTTTAGAAATTAACCCTTTAACTGGCAGAATTTCTCCTTACAATATCAATACAATATCAAGCAGACAAGTGATGAGAATAACAAAAAATATTATATAATTAAGTTGATCCAATCCCAAATTCTCCAAACTAACATTGCAAGAACTGTATGGCAGACAGTAAGGAGAATTACTAATGAGTGTATCGCTAAATAACTATTATCGATAATTGTAAAGTGTAATTAAGCACATTAAGCGTTACGTCACTAAGACTAATTAACTAGTTCGCTGCTAAATGGTGAAGACGTACGGACGGACCAATTGATTTCGAACCGTACCAATATATTGTCAACCATACAATAAAAAGGTTTGAATCACCGCATCGTACGCTCATCATTACAATGAGATTCTGGGGATTAAAGGGTTAATGGTGATATCATCTATGCATCTGTCCTCTGATAGATCATATGTAAGAACCAATAAAAATTCAGCTAGTCATAACACAGGCAGCCCAAGCTCCAGCTGTGAGATGATCATCTTGTGTAATAGGAGTCATGGTGAAAATGTAAGAGAAGGTCCTTCTCTTATGAGTAGTAAACCTAGAAGTGGATAAAATGGGTTATTTTCAACATAGTTAGTGGTCAGATAACAAGCAATGCACTATGAAAATAAGATGAGGTATTTTTATTGAGAATTTTACGTTATTTTTGTATTCCCATGAGCAATCATAAATATTCCTATACAAACTCTTATATTTTTACCATGGTTCTTGTTTCACAAGATGATCATCTCACACCTGGAGCTTGAGCTGCCTGCGGTTGTACTCACATTTTTGTCCTGAAGTTGGTGTTCCTTAAATAGAGCTATATTATTTTTGGACTGTTATAGGTGGGGCATTTCCTTTCACCATTGGTCGTATTGAACATGGCTTCAATGTCAGACCAGATCTCTGTGCTGTTGAGAATCCAGTCAACCCAAGGTAAGTTCCTTGCACAACATTCCAACTATCTTCACCATCTTCCACATCTGGCTTAAAACTCTGTACTTTACTCTGTTTATAAAAAAATCTGTATTTCACTTAGAAGAATTTGGTGTAGTTTGCTAATTTGTCTTGAAGACATGTGCTAATCCCTTATGGAGGTGATAGTGGTAACTTGAAGTGTTACCAAAGTTTTGGCAAAATTGTATCATAGTTTCTAAGAGTTTTAGCATGAATTTGTGAAAATTTCTCCATCAAACTTAAAGAGATCAAAAATTTAAAATTGACTGACAAGGAATAGTGTGTTGAAGCTGCACCTGGCATTTCAATAACTCGTAACTTGTCTTTGTAGGAAGTACATTGGACAAATTTTTACAGATAGTCTTGTTCATGATGAGAAAGCTCTCAAATTTCTAGTTGACATTATTGGAGAGGTGAGACATTTATTTCAGTTGTTTTCATGTATTTATTACAAGTATATTGAAGTAAATAAGCAGATTTTGCAGTGTATGCATCCAATGAAATTCAATTGTAAAACCTGAATCTGAGCTCCGCAATTTACAAGTCAGACTTCTGGAATAGGATCACACACATTGTTCCCAACCTAAGCACTTTCTTTAGGAGGGCCAGAGACAAAACAACAGATGGGACAGACACATACATCTGAAGAAGATGGGCATCACAAATTGTTTTTGAGATTAAAAACAATTTGTCTGAGCACATGAGTAGCACAACTAGATCAATGCATAGTTTGGTTTGAAGGTTAATTCCTGGAAAGTTTCACTGTTGTGATGTTTCATTAATGAATGCACTCAAAGCAGTGCAGGAATAGTGTATGCCTGATCTTGAATGTCTTGGTGTATGGTGTGTAGAGTTTTAAAATCTGTTGTACAAATCAAGATGTTGATCCCATACACTGCCTCTGGCCTTTACATGTATTTTAATGTATTTGTTAGTGTATTATGAAGGGAGCAAGGCCAGGTTATTCTGGTATGAGCATAGATTTAACCATTTGGAGCACCTGTTTATGTACAGATTTGCATCTAGTACTAATTATCTGATGTCTTAACGTGTAAATTTTTCAGGAGAACGTTCTTTTAGGGAGTGACTACCCCTTCCCTCTTGGTGAACATCACCCAGGCAAACTAATTGAAGAGGTGTACAAAGACAACACAGAACTCAGGGTGAGGGAAGAATGTGCATTATTTTGTGCTTGTCTAAACTTTTTTTGTGTGCATCCTTCACAGAAAAATAAAAAAAAAACCCACAGGTAGAGGGCTGTGTTAGCGTGTCATTTTTAACATAATTATGTTACACAATATTCTTTTCAGTCCACTAGAGAAAAACAAATTTGTCATCTGATTTTTTTGTCTTAAGACGTTGAAAGAAATCATCCAATGTAACTCTCGTCTTCCATTTCTTGAGGGAAGGGTCAGATTTGGAAGGGAGTAGTTTGTTGCATTATTCTGAGTCAGTTCACCAAGTAATAAAGTAATAATAAATTATTTATAATTAATGATAAGCATTTGAAGAATTATAATTATTCAGTTTTTCATCCCTCTTGCCATGTTTCCCTGAGTTCACCATCATGCTGTTTTGTCTTTCCATCTTTCTAATCAACCATCCACTTAACAGGATGCATTGACAACATGGTACATAAAATCTTAAGTACAATAATATGTTGGGTTCATTACACCAGTATTGCTTGGTAACAATGATTTAAAAAGAAAAATAAAAGATGCAGTTACACTGCTCAGTTTACAAAACATATTTTGACAATTCCAAGCAACAGATAGTTCTTGGTATGGGAAAGTCATAACATGGATTGCAAACTTAACTATTAATAGCATCTCCTTCTTAAGTTCTCTCCTCTGTTTCCAAGTGTTAAATGTAAATTAAGATTTTCAAGATAAACTATTGTATTTATCTTTTTATACTACATGTTGCTCACAGATTGTAATTGCTAATATTTCATTAGTTCTCAAAGCTATGTTGACAGTTTATGGTGTCTGTTCTGTTGCAGGACAAGCTCTTAGCTGGCAATGCCTTGAAGTTTTTAGGATTACAGAGATCTCAATTCAATGACTAAGCTACAGACAGTTAAAAGCTTGTGACTAGTGGGGTACTTGGTCCTGCACTAAATTTCAGCACAGATCAAAAACTCAGAAGGGTAGCTTCAGTAGGGAAGAATAAGTTAAATACCGTTGGTATAGGAACAAAACAAAATTTGATATTTGAAAGATGTTGGACCAACTATTTTATTTTGTATTTATCTCAGTTATATTTATTTAAAAGTAAGTCTTGAAACTGTGATTGTGCCAATATTATGCTGTAGCTCTAATAATTAGAAGTTTCAAGCTTATGAGGATTGACCTTTCTCAGAATGAGAATTTATGAGGATTGACCTTTCTCAGAAAATATGCAATAAAAGTACTTTGGTGACTTGACTGCTTTAGTATTAGGCTTTAAAAGATGACATGAAGTTTTTTTTTTGTTAGGGAGTTAATTTTCAGTGACATTTACATTTTAAACTTGATGTTTGCATGCATCCACTGTTTGGGTTAGCCCAAGGGAAAAAATTAGGATATAATGCCTGAAAATTTAACCATTTCATTGCTTATCAGCCCAGTGTGGACAACTTGAAGAAGCAATCATTTTATTCAATGAAGTTTGTTTTTGTTGGAGAAAAACCAACAAACACACATTATTCGTGCACTGTTCTGAATTAAGGGAAATATTAAGTTTATTTTTGATATCATACAACTGCTAGTTATTCAGTAGAAACACCAGACAAAGTATATATTTTGACATTATTTATGTGACATTTGTCAACAAAGCTTGTAATTCAAATGCATGGTGCTTACTGTTTTGGAATGTTCTTACTCCACATCACAAAAGATGTAAAATGGTATCTGTACAATGTAAATAAATTGGGGAAAAAGAGAGTCCATATAGTTGCACCTCTTATTTCAACTGCCGCTCCTGTTAAGAGCGGTCCTCACGACTTCCCGTCGGAAAAAAGTTTTCTTTTATTTTTTGCCCATGTAAAGGGTTTAGGACACATGTTTCAAAAACAGTTAAGTTGTTCTCCAATTCTCTTTTTCTGCGTCGTCATAAGCCAAAAATGAGTTTTGGCCAGACCACCCCTCGGCGATCGAAAGTGTAAATTTCAAAGATTTTGTCCAGCGTGCAGCGACTGCAACAATGTGGCTCACGGAATTCTATCTTGTTACAAGTTACAAGGTGTATTCAGTTAGTTCACAGACAAAATATGGAAACTTCAGCTGAAATATTTTTCATACCAGCGTGATCAGAGGAGACCCTTCTCTTCGACCTTTGATATGCAAATTAAAATTTGCATATCAAAAATTCACTACTTTGTACGAAAGAATTCTCAAAATGCAGG